GAAACTGTCTATAAATTCTCACATGGCAAAGCTGTCTGAGAGCTAGGTGTGACAGCCTTCTTTGTACAGAACATGCACTCTGCAGCTGACCACTCTCCGCTGCTCCCTATCGCTCTGGGCCCTGGCTGCTGCACTCAGCCACATGAAGGATGTAATGAACCTCAAGTGGCCCTGCAGGGGTTTATGTTGTCTGGTTCTACTCAAGGCTTTTAACCTCAAGTTGCAAGTTTTCTTTTTTAAAAAAAATTTATTTATTTATCTTGGCTGTATCGGGTCTTAGTTGCAGCATACAGGATCTCTGCTGTGTCACACAGACGTTTCATTGCAGTGGAGAGTCTCTAGTTGTGGTGCATAGGATTAGCTGCTCTGTGGAATGTGGGATCTTAGTCCTCCAGGATCCAACCCACCTCCTCTGCACTGCAAAGTAGATTCTTAATTACTGGACCACCTGGGAGATATCTCAGGTTGCATGTTGGCATATAGGAGGAAAATGATGTAAAGTGACATTAACTGACTCATTGTTAACCATTTCCAAAGAGTACTACAAGAAACCAAACTCTAAGTGAGAGACTCTACATGTGAAATGTGAGCCACAGTGCCTGGCACATGATAAATGGTCAGTAAATGATACCTGGCATTGTAATTAGTATTATTATTTCACTGCACTCTATTGAATACTCTAAAGATAACCTTAGAGAATAGACAGGTGATTATACAAGAAGTTTTTGAAAAATAAGAATGCAAAAGATTTGCCTCACAGGACACTTGAGATATATAATGAAGCTATAATAAATATTCCTGTACTATATGCATGTAACTTATATAATACTGCACATCAACTATATTTCAATAAAAAATTAAAAACAAACGAACAAAAAAAAAACTCAAACCAAACCAAGCAAAAACTCAGTACTGGTAGAAGAATAAACAAATCAATGGTATAGAAAAAAAGTCCAAAGACAGACTCAAGTACAACATATAAGAAATTTAATACATGATTAAATTGACATTTCACCACAGAAGAAAGGATAGATTAATCACTAATTGGTCCTGGGACAACTCACTGAATCCCAGATAAAATTTTTTCAAAAAAGGGAAACCTCTAGAAGACTACAAGAAAAAAGGTAGAATAATTATTTGATATTCAAGTAGGGAAAACCTTTCTAAGTAGACAAGCCAAGAGAGAAACCATGAAGGAAAGAAACCTTGAAGGAAAAGCTAAACAGACTTGACAAGAGAAATAAAAATTGCTGTACATTATAAAAATATAAAAGAAATTAACGTGGGTTTTATTACGGAATAAGAGTCTCCACTCACTGAAGACTCGCTGTGTCTAAGCCCATGGTCAGAGCACTGTAGACTCTTCACAGTCGTGGTGACAGGCATTGTAAACACTATTGGTAGCCCTACTTTACATATGAGGTTCAGAGCTTATCAGACATTAATTGAAGTAAAATACTGCAAACTTTTTCTCAAAACTATTATTAAGTATATTAATGGAGGTGTTAAGTAGTTAGTCAGACACAAGTGGGTCCCTGCTCCATCCTGGATGGGGCCACCTTTCCGTCCCTGACCTGGGCACTGGAGATCAGAACATGCCCAGAGATCCTCCCTTTATTGTGGTCAAGACAGTTAAATTTCCAGACTTAGCAGGCCCAAATAAGATAAAACCTTCCATCACATGTTGGCGCAGGCACACCAAGCCCTAAAACCCTAAAAGGTGACACAGTATAAACTGGGGTTCGTTATTCTATATTTGTAATAAACTAGTATTGCAGTATTTGTTCCGATCCCCACCCCCCACCCCGACCCCGCATGGGTTTTGTTGGGTGCTTGTGGGTAAGTGCCTGAACACAAGAAGAAAAGTTATATAACTTAAAACTGACAATCAATGTGTCAAATGATGCAGGACACAAGGAGGGCCTTGCCACTACTTTGAAAAACCAACCCTATCCCAGCTGGAAGGCTGTTTCTAGTTTCCACACAGCCCACTCTCCTTTTCTCTCCTGGGAGTGTACTTTCACTTTGTTTAAGAAAACTTCTGCTGCTTAAAAGTGTTCTATGTCTTTTGATTGAATTCTTTCCTTTGGGAGGTCAAGCAGTGAGTTGCCATTTTGCTGGTAACAAAAGTGTTATGTTAGACAGTGAGATCATGGGTGATATTTTTTTCTTGTTTTGGTTTTCCAAACTCTTCAGTATTTTATATTACATTTACTGTCAGAGAAAAGACACATTATAGAACTACCTTTTAAATTCTTTGTCACAGCTCTGTTATCTTAAGAGTAAGACACAGGGAGTTCTTTACAAATAAATAAAATGGGGTAGGCAGAGAGTGATAACAACACTTACTAGGTGTCTACCAAAAGCTAGACACTGTAAGAGTTGATTTATCTGCATTATATTTCATCCTAACCTAAAGCCTATGAGGACAAGTATATTTTTTCCACTTACTGAAGAAGGAAACTAAGACTCAGAGGTTTCGCTGAGCTTGCTAGGGAAGGAAACTCATCTTCAACATCTGGGCTCTTTCTACGGTGGCTTCACACCTCTAGCAGAGCATTAAGCTTATACCTGCCGGCTGCGTGTGATAAAGTGCCTCTTCTTACACTAGCAGATCATACACTTACACCCTGCTTTCTCAAATTTTAGAAAAGTCTCTGGAGCTCATTGATTCAGTACCACCATGATCCCCGTCATGTTAAGTACTTCAAACAGATGGGTGCCCATCCTGCTCTGAAACATTTCACAGGAACAAGGGTTAAAAAATTCCACTGGCAACTGGTACTTATGCTTAAAATTAATCTGTCATGGCAAGAAGTATTTTTAATATGTTGACCTCATCTCAACATTTCTATGAAAACAAGAGACATGACACTCCAATGGTAACCAGTCTCCACACTGGAATACTTCATATTCCAAGTATGAGTTTAGAATCACTCTCCCTAAACCTTCCCTCCCATAATTGATTTGCTACTATGTCAATGCTTTCCTTGAATCTTCAAGCATCATGCCTACCTCTTGAAGATGCAAAATGGACAAAACTTGTAAAAGAAACACCAACTTGTAGTTTGGATATACACCACAAGACTATTAGGACTAAATTGCTGACTACTGTTTAGCTTGGAATGAGCTAAAAAGTTTATATATGTTTTCACCTGGTATCCATCTTGATATCATGTGATTTGTTTCCTTCCTTCAGCACTTCTCCTTTTTGAGATCCTTACAGTTTTAATCATCCTATTAAATCTTTTTTAGTCCAAATATTTGGTGATTAATCATTCATTCAAAAAACATTTAAAGACCACCTATTGTATACCAGGCACCATGGAAGTTTCTGCAGAGACAAAAATAAGATCCTGTCTCTAAGGAGCTAAAAGTCTAAAAGAGGAGATGGAGTAAACAGATAACTCCTATACAGGATTCCTAGCATTTTCACAGAGGTATGAACTGATGTTGTGCAATGTCAAAGGAGGAGCTGGGGTAATGAGGGAAAGTTTCTTGGAGGTGGTGCTCAGGAAGAATCATTAAAGACTAATAGGAGCTAGTCAGACATTGGAAGGAAGTTATTTTCTGCACATTTTGGAAACTGTGAGAGCAAAAGGTGCCTATGGGAACCGAAAACAGAGAGCTGAGGTTAGCACACCTCTCTGAACATAAGCTATTTCGTGACGGATATAAAATGTAATGATGATTATCGTTACCGCATCCATCAACTTTTTTGATGACGATGACTTGCTCCAAAACCAAATTTTAAAAAACATACTTTTGCAGAATGTTGTGGCTGTTGCTAATTATTTTAATAATGACCTTCCAAATACTTTACATCTGAAGAAGAGTATTACGAACCACAGGAATGTATTTTGCTAGTGAAATGTGAAATTTACTTCTTCACATTAATCATAGAACTCCAATAAAGCAGACTCCAGGCATGCTCAACACCATCCCCACAGGACTCCTCCTGACTACATGTGAGTGAACGGACAATGCAATGCTACTCTTCAATCACTTAAAGGTTAATGGTGAGAAAGTCCATTTTTATCTTTGGTCTATTAGATAAGGGCATCAGTACATTAGAATTGATTTTTAGGGACTGGAGAAAAGTGGTTAAGAAAAACAACTCAAGATGAAAAGAGTGCTTCACAGTGAGAGTTCTACATGCTCAGATACAGAAAAAGAGAGGACCAAGCCACTCCCTTGTGAACTGTTACGTTGGAGGTATCAGTCCCTCCATTTGACCCTAGAAATAGCACTTTCTTTGCTAGTATTTTCCAGGCCAGTACTACAGTCTTCAGCAGCTGGATAAAGCAAAAACAAAAAAACGCCCATGCATACTAGCATGTTAATTTTGAGCAATAGTAGACAGTTGCATAAAGGGAGTAAGTGTCACAACAACTTTTCACTAAAGCTTTCAAACAACATTAAATGAATTAAAGAACAATGGCTAGGGTAGACAGATTCTCAGGGAAAATCAAATATAAACGGGTGTGAATTAAGGGATAAAAGATAAATTATTTTCCTGAAAGATGCACTCTAAGGAAATTTATCCATGTATTACAATTAATTTTGCTGAGTTGTGTCCAACTCTTTGTGACCCCATGGACTGTATACAGTCCACGGAATTCTCCAGACCAGAATACTGGAGTGGGTAGCCGTTCCTTTCTCCAGGGGATCTTCCTAAACCAGGGTTCGAACCCAGGTCTCCCACAAGCAGGCAGATTCTTTACTAGGGAAGCCTCAAGAATACTGGAGTGGGTAGCCTTTCCCTTCTCCAGGGGATTTTCCCGACCCAGGAATTGAACTGGGGTCTCCTGCAATAATAAGCTTTGAGAAGAATACATATTATGTTTAAAAGTAAGAATATGATTAATATAGTTATACTTGATCAAAGCAACATGAGAAAAAAATTTTTTTCAATTAAACTCAAAAACTTTATCTTGAAAGAAGAAACAGTGAACCTATCTTTGAAAGTGAGTGTTAGATGTATTTTTAAAATCTTTTACCTGATTTAAATAATTTAGGCACTTTTCAAGACACCAAAGGCAACAAATGCAAGATTTCAGCACACATCGAGCACAAGCATTTTCCTGGAAAGAATGAATAATGAAAATAATTAAAGACTAAAGAATCAAACCATACCATGTAGAATATTATAAAGCTTAGAAAAGTAAAAATTAAGAAAAAATCACAACCTATGCTTCAAAGCCTCCACACTCACCCTTTTTTTCCCTCAAAATGTAATGGCTGAATTATTTCTATTTTCTATTTATTTATTTTTGTTTTTTTTAAAATTATTTTTAATCAGTTCAATCCAACATTTACTTAGTACCTATTGCATATAAGATAAAGTATATAAGACCAACAAGGAACTTAAAAGCATTAAACATAACGAAGGTTAGAGTCAGAATGATACAGATCTAGTGCCATGAGAGTGGAGAGGAGAGAGAAGATGGCACTTGGGGGGTGAGAGGACTCAGGGGCGGTTTCTAGGAAGAGGGGGCATTTGAGCTAAGCTATGCAGAAATGCATGTTGTTTCCGCAGCTCAGGACAGGAAGGAGGGTTCCAAGGAGGAAAGTGTGAATTCACACAGAGGAACAGAAGCACAGGCTATTTGGGGAAACCTGTGATTAGATAAATTTTGCCAGAGCATACGGAGTACAAGAGTGGGAGATGAGGGGACCGAATTAGATTCCACTTGGCAAGGACATGGAAGAAAACATTCACACTTGGACTTAGTATCATTGGGAATTTTGCTACGTGCAGAACTGAGATCTGGAATGTGCCCACAGAAAGTCCAGAAAAGATTTTTCTTTACCTTTCCTTTGAGCTGACTGTGAATGTACATAAGGATCATTCGTGGAATTTTGACTAACGTGATAATGAAAGAACCTTTTGCCACAGTACCAAGGTGATAACGAATAAGGCGATTCACTGATGCCAGAATCGGTGTAAAAGGCAAATTCCTTTTATCCCTGTTTAAAAAATGACCAAAAAGACAATTAAAGGCTTGACCAGGATAGAAACATAGAAAAGATTTAGTTCAAAAAAGAGTGAAAAATCAGTTCATTTTCCTTATTCTAGTTCTATGACAAAATAAGCAAAGTAACTATAAGTGCTTCAGATGTATCATGTAAAATTAATGTTTCATTTCTTTATGGTAGTTTCAGGGGGTTCTTATGCTCTAATACTTTAAGTTAAATAAAATTGCTTTGAAAGCTCTTACAAGTAAATAGTTATGGCGGTAATTATACAATCAGATAATGAAACGTAGAAAGATGTTAGACCTGGCACCTCGTTTTAATGGAAAACTATCAGGCCTACTGTAGTGTATAGCTAGCTCTGAAATTAGGAAAAAAAGTCACAACACCTTTTCTGATCCATACAAATTAAAGACTTGTTAACCTTTGCTAGATCCTTATATAAGCAAAAATACTGGGTTGACCAAAAAGTTCACTTAGCTTTTTCCATACCATCTTATACGGAAAAAACCCAAAAGAGCTTCTTGGTCAACCCAATACATAAGACACTAACTACTAAAGATTTATTTTTCTGATAAATGTAATTTAAGTGTAGCATGACCTGCTATTCTAATTAATTTTTTAAGAAAGTTACAGGAAAGAATAAAGAATAAAATAATAATCTCCCATTTTCCTACCTCACAGAATTATCAATACATATTTTGTCATATTGACTTCCACTTACTTCTTAAAGAAATTAAACTCTTACCAGCCTCAGTTCCATTTCCATCAGGCATAATCACTTAGATTATCTTAAGTTTTTTTTCTTGCTTTCTTTTTTCATTGATGTATAATCGACCTACAATACTATGTTAGTTCTGCATATACAACATAGTGATTCAATATTTGTACACATTACAAATGATCACCACAATGTCTAGTTGTCATCTGTCACCATACAAAATGATCACAATATTATCACCCATAGTCCCCACTTAGACTTTTCATCCCCATCATCATTCATTTTTTTTTGTAACTGGAAGCTTGTACCTTTTAATCTCCTTCACCTATTTCACTCACAGCCTCGACCCCTCCTCTGGCAGTCATCTGATTTTTCTCTGTATCTATGAGGCTTCCCTGATAGCTCAGTTGGTAAAGAATTCACCTGCAATGCAGGAGACCCTGGTTCGATTCCTGGGTCAGGAAGATCTGCTGGAGAAGGGATAGGGTACCCACTCCAGTATTCTTGCACTTCCTTTGTGACTCAGCTGGTAAAGAATCCATCTGCAATGCAGGAGACCTGGGTTCAATCCCTGGGTTGGGATGATCCCCTGGAGAAGGGAAAGGCTACCCACTCCAGTATTCTGGCCTGGAGATTCCATGAACTGTATAGTCCGTGAGGTCGCAAAGAGTCCGACACAACTGAGCGACTTTCATTTGAGTCTGTTTCACATGAGTCTATTTGTTATGCTTGTTTGGTTTGTTTTGTTTTTTAGATTCCACATGTAAGTGAAATCATACAGGTATCTGACAGTCTCTGCTTGACTTATTTCACTTAGCATAATACCCTCTAGGTCCATCCATGTTGTTACAACTTCAGTTTTCTGACAAGTATAAATTCTCACCTAGTAAAATAGTAGGTCACCACAGCTCCCGCCACAGTCATCTGCTGACAGGCTAAAATAAATTCAGTGATCCAGATCAGGCCCACCACATGGTACCACCACATGTACTGCAGAGGCCCTGAGATTCTGAACTCCGCCAAGCCTCGCTCATTCGGAACAGCGCCACCTAGGAGAATGTCGAAGGAGCAGAGAAGCAGCACACAAAGTGTGAACCAAAAGACACGGCTATTAAATCCAGGAGATGAAGCTAACTTCCAATAATATACCCCTGCTCCCAAACCACTGGCATTATGATCACAGTGTTATTTCATTAAGGGACAAAAATAATTATCACTTCAAAAGTTGTATAGCAGAACACTGTAAAATCAAGCATTTTGTTTTCCTCAAAGGCAACATATATAGCTTTTAAAAGTTGCTCTGTTTGAATATAGTTCTTACCACATTATCAGTTATTTAGTTTAGGCATGAATTTTCCAATACTTCAGTTTTCTTAAAGAGCTATTACTTGTCCAATAATTACAGATATAAAATTAGCAAAGTACAGAAATTAATATTATTTTCAATTGGTGGTGTGTTGAATGACCAGATTAGTTATATATACTTTTATTATCCTTATACCACTCTTCACAATTAATTCCATTTAGACATACATAACTTTTGATATTAAGTATGGCTACAAGTAAGTCCAAGCATGTAACTATGAACTCTATCACCACTAGCTCTACATAGGTTCAGGTCATTTCCAAACTAGAAAATCTCAAGGAGGCAGGTTGATCTCTGGCTATTACTGGAGTTTGAGGCACCTCCAGAGAAGCACTACATTCATTAGTTCATCTCAGAATGAACCTAAATGTCTGAGTCAGTACAGGAGCTTACTTCAAATCCACAACCATCTCAAACCTGGATATGATTTCAGGCCCTACCTGATTTAGACTCACTTTGCTCGGAAGGTCATGAATGGGGACTATGTTATTTTTTTAAAAAAACTTTCCGTTTTATATTGGGTTTGGCAGATTAACAATGTTGTGATAGTTTCAGGTAAACAGTGAAAGGACTCATCCATCTGTACACATGTATCCATTCCCCCAAAACTCTCCTCCCCTCCAGGCTGTCACATAACATACCCTGTGTTATACAGTAGGTCCTTGTTGGTTTTCCTTTTTAAATATAGCAGTGTGCACATGTCCATCCCAAACTCCCAAACCATCCCTTCTCCACATTCTTACCCCTGGCAACCATTAGTTCATTCTCTAAGTCTGCTTCTGCTAAGTAAGTTCATCTGTAAAAAGGTAATGTGTTATTGAAGAGCCATAACCTGTTATTTCTGACGGCTATCAGACCTTAGTCCATAAATGTCTTAAGAATTATATCTCTCTGATGTTTTAAAATATTTTAATGCAAATCAGTTTCATTGCTGAAAGAAAGCAGTAACATGTCTTCTTACCAGCTGTGCCAAGAAAGAGAAGTGTCATGATCCAATACACCCAAAATAGAACAAGAGCAAAGAAAGTCCAAAAGGGTTGGAAGACTAGCAGCGGCAAGTGAATGAAGACCTTGCCGGCCACGTGGAACAAGGCAATGGTGAGAGCAACCCGCTTGCGCATCACCAGCATGACCAGGAACAAGATAACCTGCATGGAGCAAATGGACGGGAAGCTTTTAGCTGCTGTTTTAAGTGGTAAAAACGGAAACAATGGTGGAAAATTTTTAACACAATTCTTAATTCCACTTATCATTTTTCATTATTTACTGAAAATGTCCTTTAAAGCTAAACATAAAAGAATTTCTAAATTATTAAAACATCCTAGAATGCTACTTTTCCTTTTTCCACTCATTACAAATCAAAACATGTTGCTTGTCATCAGGATGAGACTCATAAAATTCTGAAAACTGGGGAGAAGACCATATGCTATGATCACAAAAGCACAGGTATTTGTACATCCTCTCCCTTATTGGATCATGAGCACCTTAAGAGCAGGGTTCATGTCAAATTTATTCACTCCCCACTCTGCCCTGGCACTTGGCACAGAGAAATATACTTAAAAGATGATTAATGAGTATTTGCACAATGATAGCAAACAAAAATCTCTTGGTACCAATGGTTTTATAGTGGCTTTATTTTTAGTTTCCAGTGCTCAATGAAAAGCTTGGGATTCCTCCAAGAAGTAAACTCAGATTTTTTTGCCCCCTTTTTACAGATAGGAGAGGGAGATAAACCAAAAATATAAATACAGATTATTGAACCACAAGTTTATTAATAATTTTACTGTAATTAGTATAATAATTATACTAGTGAAGTCACCTCTATTTTTGGAATAATGTTGTTAAAAGTTTAAAAGGAAAAAAATGGGAAAATAATTAGTGAAAACAGAATGACATGAGATGGCTTATTTCTTAATATACTTTTCTATAGTAAAGAGAACTGTTTTTTAAAAATAATTATTTCATGACAGTAAGATATATGTCCTTACTAGAAAATGGTAATTAATATTCTAGCTGAAAATTCCCTCTCAAAGAACAGACAGTACAGAACAAAATGCCGCATCAAATAGCACCCATCAATTAGGGAAGCCTCTGAAGACTTCTGAGGAGGTCATGCCCTATGGGACAGTGATTTAACCTAACAGTGATCAAGGGTAGGCTTGCAATAGCTAGGGGTAAGTTTTTGCTTTATTAATGGTCTATAAATAAAACATAAACCTGACAGATACACCGAGACCTGTACTCACCGTGAACACCGTTGCTGAAATGGCGTAGATGAGGAGTGCCCGAAGGTTGGCCTCCGCTATCTGAGGCTGCCCAGAAATAACCGTTTCTTTGGGAGACTTTCTTTGCTTTGCATACAGCCACCAGAGTACACCTGTGCCACCTGGAGACAGGAAACAATTTTGCAATAAGTAGCGAAAGAAATGTGTAACATAAATCCTCAATTTCCTAGACCCTTCCTATACATCACCACGGACTATTATAGCAACAATCCATTCGGCTGGGAGGTGTGTGGCTGTCATTTTTTGCCAGCAAAGGGGAACTCCAATGACTCCACTATCATCTTCCACATTACACACTTATAAATCTTTAACTGAACCAAATGAACCTCCTTTAACTCTATTATCAATTCTGAAGCTGAGAGAGAGCCCAGCAAGGACAGATACCCCTGAGAGGCACTGGTCACCGAAGACAGCCGCAACACCTGTTTAAGCTACGGAGTGTGTGGAAAGGAAGTAAATGGCATAGAAATCAGCAATGAAGGGACTTCCCCAGTGATCCAGTGGTTAAAACTCCACACTTCTAAGGCAGGGAGTATGGGTTAGACCCCTGGTTGGGCAACTAAGATCCCACATGTCATGCAATCTTGTGACCAAAAAAACCAAACAAACTAAAGTTAAAAAAAAAAAAAAAAAACCAGCAATGAAGCTGAGGAAGGCAAAGATCTTCTCTGTTGTACAATAACCCCAGTGCCTAGTGATGACACATTCACACAGTTGATAAAATATTCATACTATGAATAAATGAAGATCAAATGAGTAGTTCCTACCATAGGTAGGAACGAAGGAAATCCTTGACAGTTTGAGAGCAGTGGGCACTAGAAATGGGACTTTTTATCTCTATCACTTATTCAGAGATTCTAGATTGAAGAGGGAGGCATAACTGCCTCCAAATAAGAGAGCTGCATCAGACACCTTCACTCAGTTCATTTGGTATATTTTGAGTGCCCACAGCATCTACTGTTCTAGGGGGTAAGGCCTGTGTGCATACACACTCAGTCATGTCTGGCTCTTTTGTGACTCCATAGGCTGTAGCCCGCCAGTCTCCTCTGTCCATGGGATTTCCCAGGCAAGAATACTGGGAGTGGGTTGCCATTTCCTTCTCCAGGGGATCTTCCCGACCCAGGGATTGAACCCATGTCTCTGGTGTCTCCTGCATTGGCAGGTGGACTCTTTACCAACTTTGCCACCTGGAAAAGCACCCAGGAGTTGAGGATAGAGGACAGAGCAGTAAAAAACCAAGCCCCCAATATCACCTCTCCTGAGGCTTATATAGTTTTGGGGAAACAGAAAAAGAAACAACCAAAAACAGAGTATATTAAACCTAAGAAAAAAGCTACTTAGTAAGAGGGATAGAAGTGTTAGTGTTGGGAAAGCAGTACAATTTTATATATGATGGGTAACTAAGCCCTCTCTGGGGTGAGATGATATTTGAGCAAAAGAATCAAAGACAGGGAGAAAACAAATCTATGAAACTAAGGAAAGAGTGGTCCAGGCAAAAAGGAATAACAAGTTCTAAGATGCCGAGATGGGGCCATGCATAGCAGGTGAGAAAGGAAGAGGCCATTATAGCCACAATGAGCAATGGGAAAAGCAATAACAGATGTGGGTAGAGCAGGAGCTGGCTTCCAGATCATACTGTAAGGCCTTGTAGGCCGTGGTAAGGAAACGGGAGATTCAGAGCAGAGGCATGTATATGTCTAAGTGGACAACAGAAATGCCTGAGAGAGAAGCACTGGGCTAAGATCTATGCAAATCAACTCAAGCTCCATCTGCACTCAAGTCAAGAGTGAATAGTGTCAAAGGAAAATTCCTTAGTATTTGTAAGCAAATACTAATCATGAACTTTTCTTCTACGGAAGATGAGAAAGCAAAACAATTGAGTCTATGGAAAATGTTTCTGAGAAAGGGAAATACTACTTCCATTTTGGAATCTTGAAGCTACAAGAAAACTGCCTGGAAAACTATTTAATATCCTCAAAAACTGGAATAAAATACATTTTCTCTAAACAGAAAAAGTTGAGAGAAAGGCTGAAGTTGTGGGAAAATATATAGAATAAGATAATAGTTATGACATTAAGGAGATTGTTCATAACATCTACAGTAGATACCATTTATTAACCATTTAAACTTGTGCCAGGAATTAGCACAAATAGATGTAACCACATTTAATTACAATGCTATTAAGTGGGTATTATCAGTGCCACTTTACAAATGATGAAATTGAAATTTAGGGAAGTTCAATAGCATGCCAAATGCCACGTATCTGGTAAGTGGGAGAGCTAGGATTCAAGCTAGAGCTAGTCCATCACCGACTCAATGGACATGAGTTTGAGCAAATTCCAGGAGATGGTGAAGGACAGGGAAGCATGGAAAGCTGCAGTCATGGGGTCGCAGAGTCTGACACAACTGAGCGACTGACAATAGACAGGATTCAAATCTACTTTTATTCTAAAGGCTATTCATCTGTGATGAACTGAATGCTTGTCTCCTCAAAATCCATCTACTGAATCCTAATCCTCACTGTGGTAGTATTTGGAGGTGGGGCCTTTAGAAGATGAAGAGGTCATAAGAGTGGAGCCCTCATGAATAGGATTAGTGCCCTTTTTATTAAAGAGACCTCAGGGAGCTGCTTTCCCCCTTCTGCCACGCGAGGGCAGCAATCAGATGGCTGGAGACAGGAAGTCAGCCTTCAGATGCCAGATCTGCTGGTGCCCCGATCTCGTACGCTCCAACCTCCACAACTTTGAGAAGTAAATGTCTGTGGTTTATAGGGCATCCAGGCTATGGGACTTTGCCACAACAGTCCAATCTGACTAAGACATCATCTAGCACACAGTTAGATTTGAAGGCTACAAACTGAAATGAAAAGTATGAGGAAGAACTACAAATTAGATGAAATTGGAATAACAAAATTAAGTAATCAAGTACAGAAGTGATACTGAGGAAAACTAAATCAGTGATATAGCAGATAAACTTGAAGAGTTCTTCTTGAATGTAAAGAAAATGACGAAAGGACTAAAAATGCTAATTTGGTAGATAATGAGAATAAGAAGAATCTTAAGTCAAAATTTAGAATAGAAACAATAATCAAACACAGAAATAAAGAAAACTTTTCAAAGTTAAAAAAGATCCTCCCAAAAGAGATCATAGGCAAACTTAGTTAAGATTCTGAACTAGACAAAAAATTTAAGTTGTAAGTTAAAAATTATATAAACATCTGGTAAGTAAGGTAGGTTATGGGCAAAGGAACAAATTTAGACTGGTGTCAAAGTTCTCTGAAATAAAGTATAGATATAAAGCAACATATTGTACCTCAAGAATTTTATAGGCAACAACTTTACATTCACATGTGATGACAAAGGCAATCTTAGATAACCAAGAATTCAGAATATATACAACCCACAAGCCCTTCATGAATAAATTACTGAACTCAGATTCCAGTCAAAACAAATATGAATTGAAATTAAGAACTCAAGAACAGACTTTTATAAAAATAGGACCAGAAGAACTGAATCACTCTGCTGTACAACTGAAACCAACACAACATTGTAAATCAACTATACTCTAATAAAAAATAAAAACAGGACCCGTAGTTATCACTAAAACCAGGTAAGGAGAATATTAAGGCAAAGGTAAGCAAAAGTCTTTTAAAAAATAAAGTACAACAAATAATATTTTAACTTTAACAATAACCTGAACATGAACACTCAGATTATTTAACAAGAGCCAAAAAGTACAAATGGGCAGAAAGGAATAGAATTAGAAAGCTAGAAAAATTTATGCTAAATTTAAGGGGAGAAGGACTCAACAAATACTGCTTCCTTTCAGCCTTTAAAAATCATAGAATTCTAAAAAAAAAAAAAAAATCATAGAATTCTAGATTGAAGAATATTTTCTGAAAATGTATAGGTTACGAACTGCAGAAGTAAAAATAAAAGGGATACTATCCAAAGCAAGGGTGAAAATAACCAGAGAAAACATAATTCATACAGCAAAGAAAGATAGGGAAAACAAAATAAGGAAGCATAAATTTGAGGAAAATATAAAACAGACGACATCAGGGGTGACAAAGAATAAGTAGCTTACCAAGTGAACCCAGGATGAGCAGAAATGTTAAGATCCACACAAGTACTCTTGATATATACCTGATTATCACCATCAAAATCATGGACAGAACTGTAGGGAAGATAAAGGACACACAGAATATCATTTGAAAACATTAGAAAATATAAAGAGAAACTCTTTCAATTGTTTTCTCCTAGGGAAAATAATTTGTTGCTATTGACAAGTTCATGACCCCAATTTTGCTAAGAATGGAAACAGGCGGCTTTTGTACCTTGACCTGAGTACTTGTGTCACTTGAAAAGCACCACTTAAAACCAAAAGCACCTGACTGCGGGTTTATAAACGACAGAACAGAATACATGCAAATGCATATGGTGACTCAAAGACAGCACAGGAGTGTTGTGGATTCACCACGGGAAGACATCAGAACTCGCATGCAAACAGATGACAGCACACAAAGTGTAGAGAATGACATGCCATGCTCATGACCAGAAAATTACCAAACACAGACAGAGATCAGTTAAAGTAAACGCTACACTTCCTTGTGTCATCTATGTATTTCAGGACCAACTTCTCTGATGTTTGTTTTGGCTGACAAGTCAGACGGTATATTATCTTTTTCTAGTTTTTTCTCCTCTAAAACTCCAAGATATGGTCTGACTCTATAGAATAATATCCTGAAAACTACTGAAGTCAAAATTCCTGGCCTTACTTCTCAACTGGGGTCAGGAGTCTTGATTTAGAAGCTCTTCAAAAACGAGCAAAGCTTAGTTGAGTTATTTAGCCAACTCTTATACCCACCCCAATGTGACAAAATCTTGAGTGAAAAAAAATCTCAAAACAAAAAACTGAGAGGATTTAACCCTTGCAGAGGGAAATTAATTTCTGAAATCATATTTTGTTTATCTCTAATTATTTAAAGTCTTGTTTCACAAACAAATGAATAAAGATCTTAAACCTCAAAAAGAAAACTATTCTAATAAAAAATGGAATTCCAATGACTTAACAACATTATTAGCACTACATTTTTAGGTTTGAATTTTTTTTTCTTGGTTCAAGTATTCAACTATTTCAGAAATCAAATAATTTTTACATAAGGCTAGACTAATAGTCAAGTTTTCTTGGGCCAATTGCAAAGCCAACTAAATGGTTGGGATCTGTGACTAGGTAATGTTATTGAGGTACTCACATTTGCAATAAATGTACAGGAACCAAAAACAGATGGGAGCGTTTCAAATATCACAGAAATAGCTTTTCATATGGACAGCATTATTTCAACTGAGTCAAGTACTACCTAAGCAAAAAGAAAATACTCTCTAATGACAAGACAGAAATACAGCTAGTCTTCTCAATGACTATAATTGGTGTTAACAGGCATAAACACTCATTTTACATATATAACGAAATAGTTCTTTGGTTCCTACTACAGTTTATTTCTCCCAACTAAAAAAGTCTATAAATTCTGATATGGCTACATACAGTTCTAGGGTAATATAGGGAACTTGCAACTTGAAAATCACATTTATTTATTTATTTATTTTATTACCTATTTATTGACCAAAAAACTCAATGGCTAACAAGTGGAGATTTCCTAATTTTTCTAGCAATACAGTAACATTAATTGTAGCAATGAAAAAAATTATATAGTCCAAATGTAACCTATCACAAATTTATGTTTTTTGATGGAAATATATGAGAATATATAACCTATTTTTATAAGCAAGTAAGCCTTTTGGAATCATAACTAAAAACAAAGGGGTGCTGACTCATTAAAAGAAGCCTCCTATTATCATACTAAATGTTATTATAGACTTAGTAACCAAAGTTTGGGAATATACCAGTTTTCTCCAATGAGAGAAAAAGAAGGGAAATGAGTTTCAGATATATATATATATATATATATATGTATATATATATATATTTATATTTATACCTTAAAAATGTGTATACTTATAACTATATATAATCTGAAACAATTATTTTGGCTATGGGAAGTTAAACAATTTACAAGTATCCCCAGCAGTATTCATATTTTGGTTAAAAGAACAGTCTTCTACTGCAATACTATGTAATAGCTAATAATGAGAAAAACAATTACCTAGTGATAACAAGCAAAGTCCCAATATAATTTCTTTGCTGGTCATTACTCCTCTAATCAGCCTGTGTAAGACACTATTGTCACTGACAAAGGTGATCAGGGCCTCTGCAAACTTGGCATAGCAGGAAATGTTCACAGGAGCACAGCGATGGAAGAATGGAATAGGTGCACTGGTGACACAAGAAAAAAAAAATCAGAAAGAAAATTACTCCTGCTTAATATAAATGCCACATCAAACACACAAATGAAAGGTGAATATGGCTGCAATACACTCCACCCTCCACACATCATATGGGAGCTAAGAGCTGTGAGCTTAATGCTATGAAGATGACTGTCATGGGGCGTGATGCAAACCTTACCACAAGCTTATCAAAGAGGGTGGAGTGCATATTCCAACAGAAGACATTACCCTCCCCTTCTGAAAAGAAACACACACACACATATACACACATACACAACTACCAAAAACAAAACCAAACACTTAAACTCCTCAGCCTACACATCTATCAATCAAGAGGCAGATGACAAAACTTACAAACATATACTTTATTGAACTGAAAATTATTTTTTGCCATAAACTATTTAAAAATAAAAAAAACATATACTTTTGCTTGAAATGTGCCACCATTAATAGAATATTTGCTCTATCAGAACAACATACAAAACCTTAGATTAAAAAAGGTATTTGAGGCACCAGCTTAATATCTCATACAAAGTAGTCATACCAAGACATCAACATACAGCAGAATATGCAGCTGTTTGAAACAATAACTATGAATGCTAGCATATGGAAGAACTTATAACAATACAAGGGAAAGAAATGAAAAGCTTATATCTAATGTGATGATTACATCTATGTACTAAAGATCTAAGAATGAGAACAGGGGGAAAACTCTAAAGAAAAATCTCTGCTTTGTTATAGCCATGGGATTAAGAACTATTTTCCTTTCTTTTTATATGTTATTATTATTAGGAGATTACTTGTGTCCAAAAAAGAATCAATTATATCAGGTTTATACTGACTGTAGCTCTTACTTGTGAAGGAATATAGCTATGTATAAAGCATGGTAGAAGTATAGTTTGTTATAACATGGTTCTATTTTAGCTTCTGAGAGCATGTGTGCATCTAATCAATGAGAGATTTTAAGGAAAGCTCTATGAACATGCCCTCAGTTGTGATTTGTTTGAATTCTAAAAGAGCCCAGATGTGTCCCTATGCACAACACATATTTACATGTGCATTAATTTAAAATTTAGTCATTACTAACATGAATCCCACATTTTTAGAATTATGTATAGTACTATCAGTCATAGTTCTAATATAACTTTTTTTGACTGGACTGATGTAAGTGTGTTCTCATTACTGATTGGTACTGTAGTTTGGTCAAATTAGTGAACAGATTACATGGTTGAGCACCAAACCCCAAAAGTCTCTAATCTCAGCAAAGCAACATTGTATGACCTGAAGCAAAATACTGTTTTTGTTTCCTTCCTCAAAAAACAATAAGAATGTTTCTTTTCTAGTAAGAATATAAGTGAACTATATATTGATTTTCCTTAAATGTGGTACATGAGCACCACTGGGAATAAGAAACAACATCTTCCATGCTGTTAAACTTTACGGAGCAATAAAATAATGTAATTTTAAAGATCTAGCCTTACCTTACTTATGCTTTAGAGTAAAATATATCCAAAAATGACAACGATAGGCATGCTTATTTTTAAAAAACTGCCTCCACATACAAATGTGGGTGTATTTGTATATACCTCCAAAATGGTGTTGGTGAAAGGTAATGCCAAAGATTTGATATTTTGACACAAACTGCAGAAAGCCAGAGCATTCTGAGTAATGCTTGAATTACAGGTACGTAAGTCACCATTTTTTGACCAAAAGTTGTTTCATTAATGATTTGAAAATATATTAAATTATAGACTGCTTTTAGATAAAATAGATTTAGTTAGAAATATTATAAGAATCAAAAAACATTAACAAGTTCTTACTCAGTGGAGACTAACCTGGGACAGAAACCTTTAAACTAACAACTGTGTTGTGACCTACAACTGCTTTTTTCCTGATACTGTCCTTGCCAGGTTAATGCTCCTGTCTAAGGACTTCTAACCATATTTTAAGCCTGGTTCTCTATCCTTCAAAACAAAAGTCCTCTCTGGTCTATGAATGTCTACATCTTCATCTGCTTTATTTATTATCCTAAAATCTCTGATGTCAACTCTGTTTAACTCACCTGCCTCCAACCTTGAACATAAAATACACCCACCTAGGAACACTGATGTTCTGTTTGTAATATCCACCAATTGTCTTGGTCGTACTCCCGTTTTCCTTTTTCCTGTCACACACCCATAAACCTCACACTCTGTCAAGAAGTGGCTCCTCCTAAATCTCCCATATCCTAACAGGATGTTGATATACTTTTATACTCAAAGAGAGATACACATCATCTCCAAAAGGGAGTGGAACTTGTGACAAAGAAAACTGGACTTGGTTTCAGAAGCCCTGGGTGATTCTCCTAACATTACACGGCTGCAGGTCACTGTGTCTTTCTGCTTCTCTGCCCCTCCACCTGTCAGCCGAAAGGGTAGGAGAAAGTTCTCTGTAAGTAGGAGAAAGTTCTCTGTAAGTCTTTTCACATCATCATCATCATCATCATCAAGCTACTCATAAATCAATGATTCTAAATTAATATAAGCAGGATGGCCAGTAGCTTTAGCTTTTTTCTGCTTTTCAAACTTATAATGAGGATAGCTGATTTGAAAAGGGAAGAGTTATAGTCTTGAAATTCTAAGCCTTCATTTTTTTTTTTTAAGCCTTCATTTTTATTTAAGGGGAAAAGCTCAGTGATATCAGCTCTGAACTTATCCTTTCAAGTCATTTGTATACTGTATATAAACACTTGGTCAATTAGAAAGAATACTTTTATAAGTATCTTTCAAAGAAGTGGAATAAACTAACAATAGTTTGTTGCCTTATAATTCAATCTACATCAGTTAAAAAAAATCTGACAGCTCTAAATTTAAAGGTATAAAAATAGCACAAGATGATTAACTACTCTATCTGATGGTCAAAATGGTCAAAATCTGTTCTTGTGGTAAGGAATAACAGGTAAATCTAGTGTTACAGAATAAAAGAAATAGGCAAACAAAAGAGAAGATAACATTTGGACACAACAGCAAAAATGAAATTAAATACTTAGCTTCAAAGTAAAAAGTATTAGATTCCTCTGTCACTCTTTTTTCTCAATTCAACTCTTTCCCAAACAAAAACAACTTGACCAGTCACAAGTTTTTAATACTTGAATTGCTTTACTATTTAAAAATTCTAAGTAATCATGGCATTGAAATGGTTTGTCTTATATTTTACCACTTAAATCCCATGTGATATAATGAATTTAAGATGAGCTATCTGATTTTGTATATCTCTCAGAAAAACTACACTTCTGAGAACCTAGTACATGAGATCATTTCTACTTTAGTGTCTAACCCAAATGATACACTCTGTGCTTCTTAATTAAGAGGAAAGGCATAAAGAATTCTGTTTATAGAAAGTTTTCTACCTTTTAAAGCCCACAGAGCATTGACTCTAAGAAGTCAATGTCATCCCATTAGGAACTAACTGATGCTGTTTCACATTAGTGAAACATTAGTCAACAAGAACAAATGAATTTATAATGAGTCTTTTAAAGATTTTCTAAATTAGTCACTCATAGGAAAACTGTATCTTACCTTGGCAAATATATTGCCATTTATCTGCCTTTAAGTCCAGATTATCACAGTTAATGAGCTCCCTCAAAGTATGATGACAAACAATGCCTAATATCTTTTGTCCATATGCCTTCCTCCATAAGACAGAAGTCTGCACCTCACACAACTATTTTAAACCCCCACGCTATAAATAAGCCATTACACTTGATTTCTAATTAAATTTTGTTTAAGAAAGAAAACAATTAAAAAAAAAAGGGTTCTGGCAATATCTCTATAGCACAGCAAAGGCAGGAAATAAGTAATCAAGAATCTAATGGCACTATGCAGTGATGTTCACACGTTTCATTTTATTTCTTTTCTCTCCTCTTTCATTTCTATACTCCCTTTTAACCCCTTCAAACTAACTGTGGTATAGACTTTACAAGATCTTAAATTCAAATTCTGATTCTCAACAGTTAGTTTTGTGACTTTGAGCAATCTAACCTTTCTCTTATAAGGGACAATATCCTTAGAGGCTTTTCAGAGGGTTCAATGAGATAACACAAGAAACTTAAAACAGTGCTTGACACCCAATAGATGATTTATAAATGCTAATTCACCTTGATCCTTCACTTAAAAAATACAGACAGTATTTTTTTTCATGACTATTAGTTTCTTATTTCTGTATCATGTTAATTCTCCAATACCTAGTGTTCTTTCTGGCATCTGAAAGTATCAAAATAAATGTCTGTTTGATGAATAAACTGGTTATGAAATCTGTTTCTAGTACTGCAAGTTTTCTCTAGCTATATGCAGAACTTTAAGCATTATAAATATATAGGCTGGCTAGAACTCCCCATGGCTACCATGTTTAGCACATCACCAACAAAGTTCTGAATTTGGATACAATATGGCCCTTACTAGGCACTGGTTTGCAAAATTCAAAAGCTCTTAGGAAGAGTAACCATTTGGGAATTGTGTGGCACTAGTGTTTTACTGCAAATTAGTTTACCACTGTTTTTCTTTAAAATAGACACTACCTTTAGCTGCAGAAAGTTCCTGAGTACCCAGGAAGGATGAGGAGGTGGGAAGGTTCTAAACGTTGATATAGATAATACTCTGAGCCAAACACCAAGCACAATAATGTATGTTTAACACATAATATCTTATTTAATTCTTATAGCAATCCCATGCAAGAGGTATTGATATTCCCACTTTATATATGAGGAAACTTGGTTTACTAAGAGCTTAACAGACTTTCTTATGCTAAGGGCCATTTGCCTGCATCACAGGTTTGCCCAGGGTTAGTCAAAAGTGTTAGTACATATAAAAGAGTCAATCAAAGTATAGTCTCTACTGTTTTTAAGGACAGAGAACAGATCTTACTCGTCATTGGAGATCTGGTATCTAATCTATGTGTGAAACAGGGTAGTGACCTAAATTTTTTATTAAAACAAATTTATTGTTTTCTGATCCTTTCATTTTGCTTGCCAGATACTAGATTTACTATGTACAAGGTCTTGATTTGCCTTCCTTCTGTCAACTGTCTCTTCTCATTTACTTTCCAAAAAGGTGAGTTCAGACAAAAGTGATAGACTGTGATAAACTTTACTAAGTAAAGTGATAAACTTTACTAAGATAAGTAAAATATGAGGATCTTTAAATAAAGTATAAACATTTATATAAACAGTTTTCAGACAGTATAGATTCATCATTGCCTCTTGGATTACTAAGACATTAGTGGATAACCATGTTACCAAGCCTGTCTATCTCTAACATTCAAGCCCCTAATTCTATGTTTTCTGTCCTACTGAATGTCCTTAGGATGCTGTACATGAGACATCCATGAGTATACAGCCAAGACTGGATCACCCAGCATAACCAGGAACAGGCAGTCCTCAACATGGCAGTCAGAGGTCAGAGGTGCAGGAGGATATGCAGTATGAACTGCCCTCTACCCTAAACCCACTTATATTATACTAGAGCAGGCAACTTCATTCTCATACCACAGCTGTCTCATACCTATTATAATATATTTATGCCTTAAAATAGTGACTCTGTACTCAAATATGCGTTTAAAATAGGCGTTAGCAGTTGAATAGATAAGAGAACAGAGCTTTTCTTATTTTTACATTGATAATTTTCTCTATTCAAAGAATTTCTTTTCTTTACTGTCACAGCCTCCCTAATGTTCTCAATTTTCATGAATGGAGTCTCCCTACCTATTGGTCTAAGCGGATAATTTGTAGGTCCTTCCTATTTAGTATCTTTTAAAACAGTCCCATTGTTTTTATGTCTGTAGGCTTTAAATTTTAATTTCAACAGCAACTTGACAAAACTAAAAGAGCAGGAAATCAATTAAACTGATATGTCCTTGTCAACTTTTCAACAGAAAATTTCAAATTCAAGTTAATGAAGCATAAGTAATACCCATAAGTCAGTTGAAGGAAAGGAAACATAAGAATTTTAACCAATAGCTTGCTATAATATACTACGATACAGTAAAAAGTGGTTTTGATTCAGTATCCCTGGAAAATACTCATGTTATACATGGTTAGTGATATATGCTAAGGTTCTTAAGATCAGACATGCTCCAAATACTATATACCTAATTCTGAGTATATATTCTACAGTGCTTGAGAATCTATTTCCTTTTAAAAAATATCAATTTATAATTGTAAAATTTGCCTTACTTAAAACTACTATGAGATCTGTCCAAAAAAAAAAAGAAAAGATAAAAGAAATATCTAAGGAATTCCCTGGCAGCCCAGTGGTTAGGAATCCATGCTCTCACTGCTAAGGGCCTGGGTTTGATCCCTGATCAGGGAACTAAAACCCCAGAAGCCCAAACCTGTGTGACATGGCCCAAAATTTTAAAATTCTTTCAAATAAACAATATTTCTTGTTTCATCTTTGTATCCATTACATATAGTAGGTACTTAACAATAAATGTTGATTAAGACAAACAGTTTATTACAGAGAAAGTACCTAAAGGATATAGCCAGAAATAAAGTATGGAGACTATTCCCTGGCATATTTTTAAATTCATAAAGGTAATTTAAAAATAATACCAGTTAGGATGATCAAAGAAACTTCAAAGAATCTTTTGAGACTGTGAGACCTGACTTCCAAATTTTGCTATAAGTTTTATAATATCAATAGCTTTCTACACTTGAAAACTATGACGTTAAAAAAAAAAAGTGAGGGACTTCCCTGGAGGTCCAGTGGTTAAGCCTCTGCCCTTCCACTGCAGGGTGCATTGGTTCAATCCCTGGTAGGGGAACTAAGATCCCACATGCCACTAAACGTGGCCAAGAAATAAAATAAATTAATTAATTAAAAAAAATTTTAACAGTGAGCCCCCCAAAGAAATTTAAAGTGTTTGAGAATGAGAAATGTTGTTTGCCTGTGTGTATCTGTGTGTGTGTGTACTTTAAAATAATGTGAAATTCATGTTGTCATTTCTATTACTACTTTAAAAATTGTAAAAGTACTGAAACTGTGCAACGGGCATCATCAAGTCACTCTTTTCTCATAACATATACAGCTTAAAATCTACCTACAAAAGCAAAAGTCACAAGTTAATGAAATACAATAAAATTTACCTCGCTGGAACAGGTAGTCTGGGGCAAAGATCTTTTGGGGATGATGCATATTCAGACGGCTTTAGGTTATAGGTGCATAGTTCTGAGCCTGTTGAAAGAAAAGCTATATGTTAGCTAGCAGAACAGAGTCTGAATAAATTCTTTATTAATTCATTTTAATTTTATTTTATAGGTTAATATTAATTCAACATATACAACTTTCAAACGTTATAGAATTAATAAAAGTTTGATTTGGTTTAATAGTATCGATCCTCAATCATTTGAAACAGACTCTTCTCTGGAAACTTATATACAAAGTTTAATTAACAGTATTAGGGTAATAACAATAAATACTAGAGCTATCTTCATTGAGTGTCATATGTCAGGCCCTATATAACGTACATACACATACACACACACATATATTTTTATAAAGAGTCAACTTTTCATTGTAACTGACCCAACTCTGTCTAGGAATGTCTTCACACAATGGAAAAAACTAACATGATAAAAATTCTCCTGAAGAAACCAAGAGTTTTTGCCAGGCCCAGCGCTTCTGAGGGTCAGGCTGAAACCAGCCCATTCGTGAGGCTGGTTCTGTTCCCCATGCAGGTTTCTCATCTCAAGAGAATGGTTGGGATGGGCAAAGGACCCGTTTCCTCCTCCCATCATGCTGTGAACTCACTGGTGAGGTGAACTTCTTCTCTCTCATATATAAAAATTATATAATTTACTTTAACTTTACTAGGCAGGCATTATTAAGCCCACTTAACAGAGGAGAAAATAGAGGCTAAGAGATAAGATAAATAACTGACAGCTAATAATCAGTAAAGCTGGGATTAAACTCTAGATGTCTTTGGCTACAAAACTCTTCAACTACATATGCCATCCCTCCTTCCTATGTTTTCCATTACGAAATATTTAAGATTGCTGCATAAAGCACATAGCATTCAGATAATACATTACTTTTTTCTTATGTTAGAGTCATGAGACAATAACTATAAATAAACTGAACTAACTGATCAATCAATTGATCAAAGGAGTCTCAGTTTACAGATAGTTTAAAACAGCTTAAATTCAGTCTTAGATTGGTTATTTTCTGACTACATGGCCAATATATACATACATACATATATGGGCTTCCCTGGTAGCTCAGCTAAAGAATCTGCCTGCATTGCAGGAGACCCCAGTTTGATTCCTGGGTTGGGAAGATCTGTTGGAGAAGGGATAGGCTACCCACTCCAGTATTCTTGGGCTTCCCTTGTGGCTCAGCTGGTATCTGCTTAGAATTTGCCTGCAATGCGGGACATCTGGGTTCAATCCCTGGGCTGGGAAGATCTCCTGGAGAAGGGAATGGCTACCCACTCCATTATTTTGGTCTGGAGAATAGTCCATGGGGTCACAAAGAGTTGGACCCCACAACTGAGCAACTTTCACATTCATATAATTTAGATGGATACAGTACATCAAATCCTTGATTAAGTCTTATTCAAACAACATGCTAATTTTACAATATGGCAACTATTATACTATAAGCTTCATTGTACAAAGACATTGTTAGCTAGGGACATTGAGGCTTTAGTTCTAATTTTGCTCAGACCAGCTATGTTATATCACGTAAATTGTTTGTATTTCATTACTGAAGTTCTTACTAGGTTACTAATTTGGGAAAATACTTTATTATTAAATACCAATAGAATGGCTTTGCATTTATATTACAGCAATAATGAGATTTTGCACTGTATCATCATGCAATATGTTTAAAATATAATGTGAAGGCAGATTTTAACACTGAATTAATTGTGAAAACATCATGTGAAGACATGAGAAGGAACTAGAATGGAATACAGAAAAAAAGATTTGTTGGGACAACAAAATAGAGAGGTTTATTTCATTTACATATTGTACTTTCAATCAGAAGAATTTGAGAAAGCCCACAAACCTGCACTACTTCAGTAATGCTGCCCCCAAACCAACTTGTTAAGTGTTTGAATATGTGGGTTTAGTAGCATATTTACATAAATACACGTAGCATCTATTTTATATAAAAATATCTCAGGTAATTGGGCAGTGTAAAATATTTTTAAAGAGATACTTGAAAGTTGCATGGCATTGTTCTTCAAGTTTCTACAGCTCTTAAGATATACTCAATAGGAAACTAAGTTTCTAAAATTGTTTTCTATCATTCTCTTCCATTTTAATGACTTAGTTAAGCATGAATATTAAGCATCTAACTTCTAAAATTAGGCTTTCATGTTTAAAGGTAACACCACTAGATACTATTTATAGCAATTTTAGAGAAAATATGACAGCCATGGCAAGCAAACACTTTAATTGTAAAATAGCTGGAGTCCTATTATAGAATTGCTCAAGAAAAAATAGCCACTGTGCCAGTAACTGCAGGGCTAGCACCCAACGTGATCATCAACCTCCTGATCTGAATTGTCAACTTACTTCTTTCAGAGTCCAAGATGGAATTGATTTGCACAACATGAAAGGCCCTAACTAAAGCATATTGTGTCAGTGCTGTCAAACACACTGCTCCATTTGAATTCAGTGAACATAATCTTCCTCCCCACCCTTTTTTCACTTTAAAAAAGGAGGTCAGCAGGTGCAACAGAGTTCAATTTTATAAAGACTTTCCCAGGATAATGCTCAATGAAAGGATAATAGCCTTATCTCTGAGGTATTCTGGGACAGAAGCCAGTACTAAATAGATCCTGTACTAAATAGATTAAAGGAAAAAGATCTTTACAATGTGCTGGTAGTAACAATCAGAAGAAACCTAATATTGCTTCCTACTCAAAGAACTGATGGATAGAGAAGCCTCAATGAAGAACATTAAAACAACCCAGAAATGGCCAATGTTTTACAATTGCTTCTCTTTTCATGTGTATTGCTAATGTATTTTTAGTGAACTCTTAAGGTAGTATCTATTTTACTTTTTTTAGTAGTAGAACTATAAACAATAGTAGAAGTATGACATAAGATGTTTGGTTATAAACAGCAAGACAATATTTTTCTTCTAATGCAAAAAACAGGGGAAAACCATGCTAGAGTAATGAAAAATCTAAAGCAAAGAACAAAAGGTTATCAAAACCACATTAGAGGCAATCCATGCAACTCAGTCAATGTTATTCAAAGGCCATCAGAATGAATGATCTTAGGAACCTAACTTGGGTATATAAGCATTTATCTTGGTAAACAGTTGCTATAGTTCCCAGAATGTTTAACTACTACAATATTTCAAATGCCTTATAATAGTTAATTATTTATTTTTACCTCAATATCACTTATAACAACTCCACTGAGGTATGTTTCCATCACCATGCTCCAAACATTACAGATGAAAAAAAGTAAGTCATATTTCTAGGGCCTTTTAGGAGATCACTGACAAACTAACAAATAGAATTCTTTTCCTGTAGCCCACAATGCTTCTTCTGTGTTTTTCCTAATAATCATAATCAGAAAAGTATTCAACATGCTCCTGAGAAAAAATGTATATTCCACAGACACTGCAAAGATAATATGTTTGAAAAACATTTTTTTTTCCATTACCCAGTCTCTAAATCTGCTCTGCCTCCTCCCGTTTTAAATCTACCCTAGGTAATGGCTCCACCATTCATAAAATCTCCAAGATGAAGTATGGAAGTCATTCTGTATCTTCTTTATCTACATCTTCCATTTATGTCTTCTCATACTATTCAAGACATTCAAGATACCAACTCCTGACAATCAGACCTTTCTATGTTATTGTTTAAAAATAACTTGTATTTAGTTGTTTATTTTTGACTGCACTAGGTCTTCACTGCTGCACACAGGCTCTCTGTTCGCTGCGCTGTGCGGGCTTCTCATGGCTGTGGCTTCCCTTGCTGCAGAGCACGGGCTCTCGGGCACTCAGGCTCCAGCGGTTGCTGGGCACAGGCTCGGTACCTGTGCCCACAGGAAGGATCTTCTCAGCTCGAACCTGTGTCCCTTGCGTTGGCAGGCGGATTCTTCACCACTGAGCCACCAGGCAAGTCCGCGATCTGTGTTATTTCAGACCACCATGATGTCTTATTGGGTCAGTTAAGCTACTCTCTCAGAGGGTTTCTTACCTCCATCCTGCACATAACCTTCAGAATGATTTCTGTAAATTTAGGATTAGTTTATTACACCTCTGCCCTCAGGACAAATTCCAGACTCCTTGGCTTCAAGGCCCTCCTAAGGCAGACCTCTACCTAAAACCCCAGGCTCATTAACAAACCACTTATAATTCTTGTAGTTTCTCAAGCTTCCAGGCTTTTTCACAAGCTATTCCCTCTGCTTGAGCTGTCCTTTCTCAACTAGCATCTGAAAGTGTTCAACTTTGAGGAGAATGTCTACAAATTACAAGCTTTACCCCCTCTGTCAATACACTCAAGCAAAGCTATTTACTTCTTAGCTGTATTATAAAACACATATTTATTTTATAATTTTTTAGTTTACATATCATTTCTATCTTTAGAACATGAGCTCTTTGAGAACTGGAACCTTATGCCTTCAAAATATCTGGAATTTCTATTTCCTGGCACACAGCGCTCAAGAGCCATCTGTTGAATAAAACAGACATCCTGATTAGCAACAACAACAACAAAGAATTATTTTAATCTCTTATACTTTGGTGTTACATGTTATATATAATGATATACGCTTTTCACCATTCACTACAAAGTATACTATCTAAAACAGGATTTCTAAACCTTGGTATTAACACAATTCTCAGGCAGTTCTCGGTTATAGGGAGCTGTCTTGCGCATTTGCAGGATGTTTATCAGCAGCCCTGGTCTCTGTCCACTAGATGCCGGCAGCCTCCTTGTAACCTCTCACCAACTGTGAAAACCAAACACGTCTCCTGACACTACTAAACATCCTGGATGGGGAGGCGGAGGAGGTGGCTGTGGCAGGTGCAAAAATCACCCTTAGTTAAGAAATGCTAGTCCACAACATCAAATTATCTAAAATAAAGAGTTGGCATTGGAGGCTAATTCTTATTTTAAAATTTTGTTTGATTTACTATCTCAATAACATTTGCAGGATACACCAAGAGGAAAAAAAATAGTCCTTAAAACACATGGCTTAGAAAATTGT